AAGTGCATTTTAAGTTTTTCTATGTGCACACCTCTGATTTCTGGTGACTTTTTAAACAGAAGACACAGTGAAAGGTGCTCATACTGTCTGATTTAGATGTAGCTGTTATTAGGAAATCCAAATTTTAAGTCCTAACTCAGTGAAGAAAAGCTGGTGTTTACTTGAGGTTAAAACATCCCTCAAATAAATAGTGTAAACACTTAGCAAGAAATTCTATTAAAATCAATTGCTAAGTTCTTAGAATCCACTGAAGGTATCTGGGATATATTGTTATTCAGACAAATGTAACAAACTCTTTTTCCTGAGGCAAATTTTATTTACTGATTACCATCTTTATTTTTTTTCCAATTTACATCTTTTCCCAGTTAAGATTTGTTTGCCCTGCCTGCACATCTTGGAGCGATACAGTGTGTGATAACTAATGCTGAACTTCTGTTTGCAGAATAAAGGATTATATGAGCTGTGTGTGTGTAAACGAGATGTGGAGGAAGTAGATGAGGCATTTGGATAAAGTAAGGGATGTTATTCTTTTTTGAGTGAAACAAAATGCCCGAACATCAATTCCAAATGTTGCTCCAGAAGTGGTTGGACTGTCATAATTTTGTATTCGCTTCTGTCTTTGATCAGTTTATCTATAAGGTTTCAAACAAAAGAATGACATACTTAGGCATCAAAAGTGTGCGTACCTGGGACAGATGTGAATCAATGATCTCCTCAGATCCAAATCCTGATGCGTCAAGCTAAACAGACTCAAAATATCACATTATGAGAACGTAAATCTTAGTTGACCAAGTAAATGGTTCTCCATGACTCAGTGAAGTTCACTTGGCATTTTTAATCATGATTTCCCCCTAAATTACTGCGACAGTACAAACCTTCTAAACACGATCAAAAGAGCCTATCTGCCAACAGCAATCTTAATCCATTTTTGAACAACTACATAAAAGATTTTGGTATCCAGATTTGCAGATGAAATCAACAGTTTTACATTCCTGTTATATTTCTGGTGCTCAGAATACTGGGAATCCAAACAAGGTTATCGTTCCATTTAGTTTGATGTTCATGCAGTAGGTCACCCTTTTTGACAGGCTTCTAGGTTTCCATTTTAGATCTATGCTTGCTGAATCCCCATGATTTATTGAAAATATTAAACGTTTTTATAAATAATGATATTTCACATAGAATGACCTCAAGATCCAGCATCTCTCCTTAATATCCCAAGGAAGAAATGCTGCTGGCAGCAGACTAGGAAATTGAAATACAAATTTGTACTGTAAATTGCATACAAGTGCAAAATGGTGTCAGGTGATGTAACTTTCTCTTGTAGAGTGTACTAAGAAGGAAAAATGTTAATTGTCTTACGGTTAAATAGAGTGAGACATGATTAACATTGGTCAGTTTTTTTAATGACATTTCTTTCAAATTGTAGTATTTTTAACTGCTTAATAGCATAGCCAGCCTAAAGATGGCTTTTACAGAAGGGAAGGGAAGGGAAGGGAAGGGAAGGGAAGGGAAGGGAAGGGAAGGGAAGGGAAGGGAAGGGAAGGAAAAGGAAAAGGAAAAGGAAAAGGAAAAGGAAAAGGAAAAGGAAAAGGAAAAGGAAAAGGAAAAGGAAAATACCATGGGAGTATAAAAATGGTAGAAAACAAAGACAATGAAGAAAGTAAATAGAAACTATGAGAAAGGTGTATGAAGGAACAAAAGAAAAGGCAAATATCAAATTCTAAAGTTTTGTCAAAATAGTGTGTGCCGTAGGTACAACTTCTAGTTTTTGGGATAGGAAAGATGTTGCTGTTGCTTATACATGAACCAATAGGTAAATTGAATCAAATGAAAACAGGAACGTAGAATAAGTACTAAAGTTTGAGGTCAGGTGCTACAACCTTAAAAGAGAGCTTAAGAATTACAGATTGTTGAACTTGCTGAAACGTGCTTGTGACTCAACAGTTCCCATACAGAACTGATGCAAATTTTCAAATGTACAACAGACAGTAGGGTTGGTAGCTGCTCTTGGCTGTCAAAAACTTGTTAAGCTGGCTTTGGTCTAGTTCTTATTTTGTGCCCTAAAGTAACTTTGTAGATACAAACTAAAGTGTGCATATACCTGCTCAATCTGATGCCACAGTAGATAACTAGATATCTTTTCTAGCAAAAGTTTATGTTTATCCGTTCCCTTGAGGAGAGGAATAGAAGAAGAGGTTTTAGAAAGTAAACAAATGTTTTAAATTACTCTATGTCATCGAACCAGTGCAGGCCTGTTTGTGATCAATTCCTGCATTCAGAAATTGGATTCGCCTTACTAGGTGGACCTGCACAGAAAGCATGATGAGAAGACTTCTCATGTCAGCCCCGGACAAGGAGATAATGCTGATAATGCTGCCTCACAACTTTGAGGGTTTTCTGTCCGTCTTGACATTCTAACTTGGGATTCCTAGGGAAGAGTAATGATATCACTGGTGATGTGATCTAGTTAGTAAAAGCGAACAACAAAGGTCTTAAATACAATCATAGTAAGTTTTTGTCAAAAGTCATTATTTAAATATAAAGGCATGAAGGAGTACATTTTCAAAGTATTGCCTGGAGGATTGGGTGTATATTTTTCTTTGTAGCGAGAGGAGTAGTACATTTCAGACCTTGTTCTGTGTTAGAAAGTGCTCAGTAGATGAGATCTGAGGGCGTGCAAGTTTAGAAAAATTTGCTTTAGGATGTCCAGATTGAACCTTAAAAGCTATATGTAGTCCTCAGAGCCTGGCTTGGATATTCACTTTCCCTGTCATTTCAAGGTGAGGAGAACGTCATTTGCTCGCAGGCTTTTCATTAATGTTGAAAGGAAATCAAAAGAACAATCAGCTCTTATGATGGTTTGAATTTCTTGGTATCGCTATCGTAAATAGTTGTGCATAAGCAAGTTAGACATAGCTTTAGGCTGCAGTTAAATTGCTGGCATACATGCCCATTGCACTAAGGTTGGACTGCTCTGGTTTATGTGCAGCACTTGTAGTTGTTTGAGTAACATTTAGAAACGTTTATTCTTTCTGGAAATAAAGGCTAGATGACAAGTGGGTGAACAAATAGTTTGCAATTGTTCTCGCCATAGAGAACCTATCTGTTTTATTCCTTATGAACTGCTTTCACCTCAGGATTGCTCTTAAAACATTACACAAACAACTGAGGAATGCCTTTTAGCCAAATGCTTCAGCCATTCCCTTTGAAGCAGGTGTGCCACACGAGCCTGCCAGCACAGACATCACTGAGCTCTCTTGTGTGCCTTTGGCTTATTAGGAGTAATGCTCGTTACTTTTCATTTTGTTGAAAGCCAGAGCTATTATAATGCAGATTCTCTATCTGCTGAGATAGAGAGAAACGTAGCCTTAACTAAAATTAAGCTGAGCACAGTTTACACAAACGTGGGGACCACAATAGAGCAGAAGATTTCCCCATCCAGTAAGCCAGGTTCAAGAGCTACTTGCACATCCCTGAGTTGATCAAGGGCTTCTCAGGTGAAAGATATTGGGAACTGAGGAACCTTTGCTGAGCAGCTGTTGCTGATGAGATAGAGGTTAACTGTGAAGTGCTGACCATAGAGAGTTGGTGCTGTGTGGTTACTGGCTCTGAGCCTGGCTGAGTTGGATCCATATCCACTCTGTTTGCTGATGTGCAAATCAGCTGTGTTGGTTCTGATGCATTTTTGGCTGTTTAGGGATGAAGCGACAAGTTTAGACAGAGGTGTGGTTTCCAATGGCAAGACTGCTTTGTTCATGGTGACAATTGGGAGTGCTGTGGTGTGACAAGTAGGGAACAAGTGATGTGAGAGCAAAAGGTCTTTGTCAAGCAGCTGTTCCCTGGACAGTAAGGCTTCTGGAAAACCACTGCACCAGTGTTACGGAAGCATCAGCATGGAGGTAGGACTGAGGGTTGCAGAGAGAAGGAGGGGAGAGGAGATGAATTGTGCAGCTCAGTTGCAGGAAAGGAGTAGAAGAGAGGATGCTCAGAAATGGTGGGACCCTGCTCAAAGGAGGGATGAGATATGGGATATAGCTTGGGAGGGGCATGGAGATATACAGCAGTTATGTGGGCAAGCATGGGCAGGCACTGCTTTGTGCCTTAAAGAGTGTAAAACAACAAGCAGAATCACAACAGAGAATGTAAAAGCTTGCAAATAAATACCCTGCACTGAGCATGCGTTATTTCGTGCTCATATTGACCCAGAGGCTATTCCAACTCACTGTTTTTAGCCATCAAAGTGTTCTGCCCCTCTTCTGAAAGTTGTGCTATCCATCCCAAGTCTTTGTCTTCTCCAAATTTTGCTTCTAGAAGCAATCAGTGCTTTGGCTTAACTTCTAGCCACATGTCACAGAATTAGTGCAGGAAACACGTGGGGCTGGATTGGAAGTCAGTGAGCCCTCAGCAAGACCAGGGTGTGGGACAGGAATGCCTGCTTTCTGCCCCTGTTCTGCTGTAAGAAGGTGAATGATGTTTCTGTTGTGGTATTAGATGGGTGAAGGTTGTGAGCACAGCATGTATGGTTGGCTTTTTTGCTTATAGCGTGACCAGTAATGCTACAGAGTGAGTAGTCCTTTGGATGTTCTTTCAAGGTGTGGAATAGTAGGATTTAAAGAAAATACAAATTAAAAAAAAGAAAATCCCTTAACAATGCTTTCAGACGCATAAGGTCTTAGCACCTATCTGTTGAAAAAATGTGAGAGAATCAGGGTAAAAGGGCTGTTGAAATATTCAGGAGTACGTATAAAAGACTGTCTAGGCATATGTAGTGCCTGTGTGTAAATCAGAGATTGTTTATTGTGAGAGCATATTCTCAAAGCAGCTGCTCACAATGGCTTGTTGTACCAGTTTTACAAGATTTTCTGAAGAAAATCAAGATACCAAGCTTAGTTTGCTGCCAGAGTTTGTTTCACACAGAAGTCCTGCATTTTGCACCCTGTGCTGGCAGGCTTTATGCTTTCAGAAAGAACTTTGTTTCTCTTTCTTGATCAGGAATAGATCCAAGACTAAATGAAGGGGGAGAAAAATATTTCTTTGCAGATTTGTTTTCCTTTCAGAAGCTGGAAGTTAAAAGGGAGGAGTACTAGAAACTGAGGTAAGGGTTTTTAGCCACAGACTGTGAATTGTGTATTAAACCTCCCCACCACGTGTTCAGAAGGGAATTGAATGCAAGGAGCTAGATGATGTGCAAGGCCTCTTTCCACCCAGTTCTGGCAGTGCTGCTGGGAGGTACAGGGTGCCTTTCCCTGACGTTGTGTGTGATTAATCATCTTGAAATGACACATGGGAGAAAACATTTCAGATCTGCAGCTTATTTTCAGAAAGTTTCTTATTAAAATCCCCTGTTCCTTTCTCCATCCCTTGCACCTTTTCCTCCTTCTCTTCCTCACCTGAGGACTACAGGTGACTTTTGCATGCAACATGTTTTCTCTCATCAGCTCCTTGAAGGCTAAGCCCCTGATCTTCTGCAAAAATGCCACTTCTTATTAATGTTTTATGAACTGAGCTTATTAACCTGACTTTCATTTTGTGTAAACTGTAATTAAAATGTATGAAGAACTTGACTTGCATTTGCCCTTCTGGGTTGATTGTTTGGTCTGCCGAAACAGCATCCATCAAGATCATAACAAGATGTGGGGTTTTTTGGTTGTTTTTTTCTTTTTTAAGGGAGACTTGAGTCATTTCATGGGGGTCAACTGGAGCCCAGGAATGCCTTTTCCTTTTGGCAAGACTTCTGCAGCCATGTGTGTTTACTGTGGACCTCTAGCTGGAAATGCAGAGAGTGAGTTCAGCTCATAGCCTGTTCTAGAAAAGTCAATACGCTCTTTCCCTCCAAATATCTGCCTATTAGGTGATGTTTTAAATTCCTTCCCCCCTTTCTTGGGGACACTGGTGAAGAAGGTAGAAAGGAGTGATGTTACTTGTGACCCTACTTGAAACATTTCTATAGCAGAGAATTCTCAGACTCTGAAACTCAAGGACAAATGTGGTAGGAGCCCAAACAGACTGCTGAATGTCTGAGATGTGAGGCAGACTGGGAGAGGTCACTCACTCAGACAGTCCAGCTATTGTAACAGTTGTGCACATTTGTGGATAGATAAACCAGTGAGAAAAGCCTTTTTTCTGCATTTATACCTGTCTAAAGGCAGCATACCATACATAAGAGCCACTGCTCAGCATGCCACCAGGTTTTCCTCCATAACTAAAAAAAAAATTATGACTTCTTTTAAATTTTAAATTCTGTGATCTACATGTATTGCATGGCTGAACCTTCCTATTGATAAAGAGTCGAGAGAACTGTTTTAAACAACGTGATTGTTAAGCTTGGGTGTTGCAGATAGCTGTGACCACGATGCTGACGCTTGCAGTAGATGGCAACTTTCGCCATCTTAGTTCAGTCATTCAGAGGCTCTTCTTTTCTCTCTTTTTTTTTTTTAGTGCCTGATCTGATTATCTCTGCTTCTGCTTCTTTACGCTGCGCTGCATGTGGTCTGCTTTTTACAACCCAGGATTCACACAATGAATGTAAGGCTCCGTGCAGTCGCCCTTGTAGTTTTAATCTCCCCTCGCCCAGGTTTTAAAAGGAAGGCTGGTGCGCCTTTATGCCTGGATTAATGCTGGTATGTGACTTAATTAATTAAATAGCGTAATCCATCCAAAGAAACCCGCTTCTCTCCCCTCAGATTGCTGTTCCTCATTTCTCACACAGCAAGGCTGTTTCTTGTGATGCACCTAATTGAGGGTACCTCTCCCTCAGCAGATGGAAAGCTGCCTTTTAGCCACACTCGTGTATAAATTGTTTTGGGGGCAGATGTTTGTCAGGGATGCTTTTTCCTTTCCTGAGAGGAAGGTTAACAAAATATTTAAACTGTAACATACTCACAGCCTGCGTGCACAGGGTTTGTTTAAAGGACGAGAGGGCTATTTATGGAAAGCATGTGGTTTACTTTTTTCCCCCAAAGTGGGATTGTTCCTCTGGGGTTTGGCATGCCTGTCCATAGCATATGCGAAATGAAGAGAGGAAACTTTTGGGGAAATTTTCTCTACATTTAAGTATTCTCACTTTCTCACATCCAGGTGAGAAAACTTAGCGATTGTTGTGTTTTACATGCTCATGTTTTTCCAATTAGCTTTTGAGTGGTATTTTTAATCTTTTACAATCAAACGATGCGTTTGTTTCCTCCATGGTAGGGGTATGCTGATAATTTGAATTAAGTGCAAATTACTGGTGCTGATTAGGAGCAATAAGAGAAGACGACATTACAGCCCTTGCAAATGCTTCATTGTACTAAACTGCCAATTTTAAAGTTCATTTCATTGCATTTAAAGTGAAGTGTTTAAAGTAAGCGTGGATAGCTGGAAAAGTTGCCACGCTTCTTAAAAAAAGATTATATGATCAGTTGAGATACTTGGTTGTCATTGTGTCAATTATGGCTCATCAGGCAAAGTTAGTCTTTGATGCATGGCATCTGTGGAAGATGGTTGTACTTCTCTGGGTTTTTTAGCACCCGTGTTTTGTAGTTTTAGGGTTGAGTCAGACACTCAGCTTTGGCAACAGCTCTCTACAGTGTAATATTGGCAAGACTGCCACAACGTCTCGTGGATCAAGCACATCAGTTCTTTGCTTCATCTTGAAGGAGTCTGTGATGTCCTCTTCCACAAATCTGAACGACAACTCACATTGTTGTGTGCATCTCAAGCCTTTACATGTAATGCTGCATGCCCTACATTTAGAGGCTCATGCTCATCTCCAAAGGATGCTGCAAGTCTCGCTGAGAGCGGCCACACCTTCCTGCCCAAGTTGGGAGCATGGTGAGCTCGTGCAGGAGAGCCATAGGAAGCTGGTGGTGCAGAGGGACGTGCTGTGCAACATGAACTTTCTGCCCATGCACAAGCTTAGGAAACAATTCACTGTAAGTTACTGCACCTATGCTGGAACTTTGAATACGCTTAGATTTTTGCTTGGACCATTAAGCACTTTCATCTAATGAAAATTACTTTCTTTTAAAAAGAAAAACATTAAAACAAATGATAACTGATTTCTTTTTTTCCGTAATGACTTTTTTTTTTTTTATCTGAGAGCTTTCAGAGTGCTTAGCCTTGCAAGTTCAGATTTCTTTTTTTAAATTGCTTTACAAAATCACAGGATGTTTCTGTGGTGAGTGTACATCTGTGCTGGCTTTCATTGAGCTTTGGAAATAGGTCAGGAATTAAAGCTCCGGCTTTGTGGTTCTGAGGAAAGCCCTTAAGAAACTCTCTCAGACATAAGAGGGTAAAGAGGGGTCAGTAGAAATGCAGTTTGACCATGTATAGGCTGTGTGGTCTCTCTTGTCTGAGTGTGTGCACAGCTATACTCTATACACATGCATATGTATGAACTTTTGAAATGATGCTCTTCTGTGCTTGCTTAGAATAGACGTTACTAGAGAGGGGGAAAAAAAGTGGTTATGGGAAATCAAGGGAGATGCTCTTCTGGCGATGGTAACTCCTTATGTGTCTTGGGCTTAGCTCCATTGTTTTGTGCACCTCTGTGGAAAAAAAACAACCTGTGTGAGGCTTGCCTTTACAGTGTGGCTGCATTGCCATGGAAACCAGCAGGCAACAAATCACACTGTGCCTGCCTGCGGACAGACAGAGGTCGGGGGGCTGGCATCTGCCCTGCGCTGCCTTCCTGCGTTTTGAAAGCACTTTGAAGATGGAGGCAATGAGAAGAGGGATGGAGTTAAACCTGGTTGTGGCTTCTGTAGCTTTTCTTGCAGTGTCTAAAGAAATTTAATAATAATAATAATAATAATAAAAGTCTTAGGGAAGAAGTAAGAAAGCTAAAGAGAAATCAAGCAGAACAAGATTCAAGATTTGATGTAAATGGAATTCCCCTGTTCTTGTCCTTCCACTCTTCCTGGGGATCTTACATAGCAGGATTGCCATGGGTGAGGTTTTTTCTTTGCAGCAGAAAGAAAATGGAATGGGAGGAGAGAGAAAATGGTAGTTGTTTTTGTGTTTTTTTTTCCAAAACACATTTTTACTTTCCTTTGGCATAAGCAACTTCTTTCATCTCTTCCTAAGTCCCTAATTTATTAGCCCTGTGGGTGGTCCTAGACAACCTCATAGCAGTGTAGCCTTTCACTATCCCAAAATATTAATTTCCAGGCATGCTTTGTAGGCAGGGCAGCTTCATGGTATGCTCAATTGTTCGTATTCACGTATCCATGTTGCTCTGACCTTCTCCTCCTCACCTTTCCCCTGCCTCCAGGGTTCTCTGCGTATGCAGAGGTGCAGCACAGCCCCCGGCTCACAGGTGAAGGAGGCAAAATAACAATTCCTGGCACTGTAAAGAGGACCTTTTTCTTTGATGAGGACATTGCTGAGTTTAACTAGCAGAAAGTAAGCATGGCTAGAGGATGACAAATCTGGGTGGGACGTAACCAACCATGGATATTATCAACACAGCCTCAAAGGTGTTTTTTCCTCTCTGTAGCTCCTAGCAGCCTTTCTGAGGTTGCTGAATTAAACCAGACTAGCTGGCTGGAAAGACAGACACACTAGGAAGATTTTTGGTACACATTCATTTCTCCTCATTCTGCTTTCCAAGCGATATACGGAGCTTATGGGCAGCATGCTGTAGTGTCAAAATATTTTAAACATGGCCTCTTCCTCCCTTGTACCCCTTTACCCTACTCTTTTTGACCCCAGCTCCTTCAGATGGCAGTATCATTGTAATGACAGCCTCATACAGTTCCTGATGCAGTCTGTGTGCCACAGCCAACCACATTTATGCCCCCAGCACCTGATCTGGGCAGCAGGGTGAAATCACTGTCACGAGATCACCACAATGCTCTGCCCTTGGGTCCAGCTCCTAGCCACGCGTGGCTCATTGTCACATATGTGTGTCACCACTGACTGTGTCCTCACACGGTGATGCCCTGATTGCTGTTGTCTCCTCTCTAACTGAAAGGAGATCTTCCTCTCTTCATGTATTTTGTTAGTGTGCATTTTTTTTTCTTCCAAATTATAAGCTTATATCCCTGCATGCATCCTAGGAAAAAAAAAATGGGCTGATAAAGATTTAAACAGGCGCTCTAAGAATGAGGATGACATTCAAGCTCAAAATCAAAAAAAAAATCTGAAAGTCAACTCTGTTATATTTTCTCTTCTTTTCTTTCAGCTTCTAAAATGTCACTGCCAAGAGCAGTGACCACAGTGGTGAATGAAGCTATGGAAAAAGAGAGCTGTTTGTGTTGTTGTTATAAGATCTAGTCCCCTCTGTTCTGAAAATGTGAGTCAGGGAAATGTGTGCAGTGCACAGAAGTTCAGAAACAAATACCTGGTCTCTTTCTAGCATGAAAATACTTGGAATGCAAAAAGATTATCTTTATGCATATGGTTTGTTTATGAAATGAATTGGTGAAGTTTGGCATGCTTCTTAAAGAGGCCTTTTGCCAGTCTTTCCCCATAGTCTTAAGTCATGCCTTTGCATAATGATGTAATCTATAGTGGGCAGGAAGAATTCAGCATAACTATGAATAGTAGCAGTATTTGTGGTGAACTGGTTGTGACATTCTCACTCGAGCATTTCTCTTTGGAACTAGTTCTTCAATCATGAGGCTTGCAGTAACGTCAAGAGAGAGCAGTACAAGAATAGCATGGGTGAGGGAGAAAGAGGACACTTGTTTTAGAGGCTCCACCACAGGAGGAAAGGAGAGGAAAGGAAAGGAGTCTTGTTTGAAATGCTGACATTTTTAGTCATCTCCATGTGACATCCCTCCATCATCCCCACGTCCTTTGTGCACACAGAGTCCCAGTAAGGGGCAAAACAACTTGCAAGAAACTAGGTGAGTAGAGTAGTAAAGGGGAAGCATTAAGCTGATAAGAGCATCTCAGCAGTATTTAAAAACAAACAAACGAACAACAAAGACAGCAACAGACAAAAAAAAGCTGAAAAAAGAGTGTATGCTTTTAAATGTGCTGGAATCAGACATGCTATTAGTTCTTAGAATTGTGTTTAAGTAGGAACAGAATGTAAACAGTGTCATGTCAGAATGAGCTACATCCATCATGCCTCATTGGTGCCCATTGGTATCTTTGAAGGTTGGGTTTATAGAGGTAAGTTATTTATTATGGAGTAGACAGAAACGTGTGAAAAAAGCAGGTCTCCCCATTGTAACTTAAAAAGGCAAAGAAGCTCCTACAGGTAAACACTTGCTGTTGTTACTATACTGTTATATAGGAATAGTTTGAGCACTAGTTTTGAGTAAGAGCAGGTTTGAAGTACAGTGGTGATGCTGACTGGATGTGTGGGGTGCAATTGCTTTCTGCAAAAATATGTTTATGGGAAGACAAGTTAAATGAAAAACAAGTGTCTGTGGTTCAGGGCAGAAGAATTATTGATGTTCCAGTTTTGTAAACGTAATATCTGGGAAGTCAGTTGTCAATTAAGAAAGTCACAAGTACTCAGGCTTGGTTTAAATTCAGTCTCACAAAATTTGTTTGAATATGTGAGTAGGAATCCAAATATTGTGATGATAGAAGAGCTTAACACTCATTACATTCTCACATGTCATTTACAGGACACTGAGAACAGTTGAAGAAGCAGAAAGTTATACTATTCTTTTCTGGTGTAAAATAGTACTGAAAAAGTCATCAAGAGTAGCAGAAAACTTGATTTATAATTTTGAAAAAAGTGATACAAGGAGAGCATTTGGCACTGTGTCCTTTGTGTTATTTAAGAAACTCTTCCAATGTACGAAAAAATAACTGTCCTCAGAAAGGACAAAAGAAAACAGTGTCAAATATGGTACTTTTCTGACACTGCTGTGAATTTCTGCAGGGATTTTTTTCAAACACAAAATGAATTATTCTAAACAACAGCAGCCTCATT